GCCTTGGATCTGGGTGCACATAGGAGAATATTCAGTGTGCACGGGGGTCATTTTAAAGCAAAGCCAACTACAAAAGAGGGTCTGATATTATTCTTTCAATGAATTCTTCACTCTTGCACTGAGGACAGCTGGAGTTTGACTGGGAGGAGTAATGGCTGAGTGAGGCTCTCAGGATTTGATCATACATTTTAAGAAGGAAAAAAAAAATTCCCCCAAGCAGTCTGAGTGTGCTGCTGTAGCAGCTCCTCTGGGCACTGCCTGAGGGAGGCTCAGGGGTAGCTGGGGCAGACAATTTCTGTGGAGGCGTTCTGGTGTGACAGTCACAGCATATGCAGGTGGGACAGCACCAGCAAGGGGAATGGTTTCTTCTAGGCAGCTCTGCAGAGGTGCACATTTGCTCACCAAGATCTGCTCAGCCTTTGACCTCTCCTTTTAACGCTCTCACGCAAGCACTGAAATGAGAGGTTTCTGAGTGAGCACCCCAGAGAAATATGAGGGGTGATCATCTGCTGATCTGGAGATTCCACCCCTTACAACCTGGCCACGTGCTGAACTGGTGACCTAGAGCTGAAGAGCCAACGCAACCAGCCCGTGCCCATCTTGCAGCTGTAAGTGAAACAACAGTGCATGTAGGTTTATTGTCCAGATCCTCTTCTGGGAGCATGTGCCCCAAGGTTTTTGGGTCTGGTTAGAAGTAGGCTGAAGAGTTGCTGGCCTGGTTATCTCCCAGGGAGCAATGTGGGACACCTGCACAAGTTAAAAAGGTGGCTCGGAGCAGCCTCCTCTTGCGCCATTGCAAGTGCTGGGTTACAGGAACAAGTAGGGGGCTCAGACTGAACCTTGTCAGGTTAAACCAGGCTCCACCAGTGAGCGAGGGGGAAGATTTGTGACCATGATTGCCGTGACTCTGAGAGTGGGAACTGGGCAGAAGGTGGATGCTGCACCACTCTCCACCATGAATGCCCACCCCATCCAGGCAGGTTTTGGACAGAGGGGTGCACAGTGCAGTGAGTAGCTGCTCTCTGCTTTGCTACTTGAACTGCAGAACTTACTGTAAGAGTCCTGTGGTTTGGGCAAAACAGACAGAGGATTTTTAAAATTGAGTATCAGCAAACTGAGGAATAAAACTTCATCCTGAAATGAGAGATTGTGCTGTTTTGCCTCCTAAAGGCTGAAATGAGACAATTCAGTATTTGGGAAAAAAAATAAATCCAGAAGTATTCTTAAATTTCTGGGTGGATTTTCAAGTAGTTTGGGTAAACAGATAGGTCATCCTTTTCTGGCAAAGACACTGTCCAACTGAAAACCTTGCCTGCCCCCAGCTGTCGGTTGCTGCCTGTTTTAGCCACCAGAGTGGGTACCTGGCCTTTCCTAGCGGGCAGGAGCACTGCAGGGGCCAGCACCTCGGTCCCAGCCCTTTTTGGACACCCTGCCATAGTATAATTACAGCTATAATTTCTGTGAGTCTTCAGGCTTTCCTAAATGCTCCCTGACTTAAACTTGCAAAAAATTGGCGATTTGACTTCTGCCACATGGAGCTGGTGAAATCCAGTCTATGGGCCACCAAATGCTCAGAAGATAGGGGTGTTTAGGAATTCAGGAAATTCAGGAAAAATTTTTTCACTGTGAGGGTGATGGAGCACTGGAACAGGCTGCCCAGAGAGGTTGTGGAGTCTCCTTCACTGGAGTCATTCAAAACCCGCCTGGACGCCTTCCTGTGTGATGTACTCTAGGTGGTCCTGCTCTGGCAGGGGGGTTGGACTAGATGATCTTTCGAGGTCCCTTCCAACCCCTATGATTCTATGATTCTATGATTCTATGATTCTATGATTCTATGAATTCAGGATGATGAAAAGCTTCTGGTCTCACCCTGCAGAGAAGAAAGAGCAGGGGTAGGGACATGGTCTGAGGTATCCAAGCACATAGCCATGTCTACACACACATCCCTCTCATACTGATTTCAAATTTTGTTTATGCAAAAATTATCTCCTGGATCTACAAATGTGATAGTTTTCTGCAAGGAGGAATAAATAGAGGGCAATAATTATTTTATAACTATTATTAACCAGGTGATTAATCTATGTCTTGGAGGAGGTAGCTCCTTCTTCGGACCTCACTGGCTGCTCTGGCTCCCCCATTTATTTTCAACCATATATATATATATGGTTGAGCTGCTGTTTGGTTTCAGGAAGAGGACAACTGTCTAATATTTGGTGTCTTGAGTGTGGCTGGTGCCCCATAATGTTAGTTTGGGATGCAGAACTGGGGCACATGCTGCTTGTGAGGTGCTCAGAGCCTTGCTTTTACCTGTAGACTTGGAATAAAATTCCCTTATATTTTGGGTGGTGATGGATGCAAGCATTTGGAAGACCAACAACAAAACCCCACCCTGGAGTAGAAATTGAAAGGCTTGAATAAAACATCATTGAAAGATGACCCAGTATTGATGGAAACATTTCCTGACTAGTGAGTGTCTACCTTTCTCTTGGCTTTGTTGTGCTTATTTGACAAAGCCCCTGCTGAGAGCACAGCATCAGCTTCAACCAAGAAATGACTGTGCAGCCCAGGGCTGAGGCTGTGTCTCCTCCTGGGGAGGCAGGGAACCCTGTCTCCTGCACTGAGCCCAGCTCAACTCCCAGGGGATGGCAGGACCTCTGGCGTGGTCTTGCTTCCACAGCATGTTGCTCATGCTGCTTTCAGGGTGCTTGTTGCACCTACAGAGCCATGACAGGGGTTTTTTTTTGCAAGTATTTTGTGAGAGATGCGTTGGTTGTGGTGGACTTGGAGAAGTTAATCAGAGCGGTACCCCGGGGAAAAGGAGGTTACACTGATTAACTCTGGAGACGGATCTGCTCCCGTGTCTTTTGGTGACTCTTCTGCACTGTCTGCATTGGTGTGTAAAGCCTTGATGAGTCGAGGTTTGCAAACCACCCTCTCATTTTGACTCTCTGGTTTTAGAAAAGGTGGACTGTGCTTTCTAAAGGCGGCTCAACCCACAGTAGTTTTCCTTCACAACCATGGGAACTGCTTGTGCTGAGCTTGTCTTGAGCTTGTCTGGCTATTTCTGATCAAGGTGAAATTGCAATTTCCACAAATAGAGGGTGAGCTTTGTTCTGACCCAAGGTAAACACTTGACTATGTAAGTGGAAAATGGGTTAATGAATATAGCAAGCCTCTTCACCTCCTGTTCATGGGCTCTCCCTCTTCCTTACAGTGGGGTGAATGACGCTTTACTCTTCCTAATGGGCCTTGACTAGTGTGCCTCCAGCCTGAGGAGGGTAACAAGTACTCTCAGTGTAGGAAATAGTCCAATATGATGGCATTTCTGCCCCTCTAAAATCAGGGAGAGTCTAATCCCAAAGCAGGATTTTCTGGTCAGTATCCTGCAGTGCAGGTAAGGTGCCCTTACGTGCAGGGACACTGTGGATGGTGTGTGGAGGTTGTGGGAAACACAGAGTGAGAGGCTTCCAATTTCTGCAACAGTTGCATGTTAAAACTACATACATGAAGAGTCCTCTTTCACGACAATCTTCCCCATATCTAACGAACTTTAAGCCCACACATGAAAGAGGCAAGTTCTTTTCCAAGTGTATCACCCAGGCAGGCTGGACACAACTTTCACTGTGTCCACAAGTAAAGACCATTTAAATGCCTTGAAGGGGAGTGGATGGTTAAAAGCTAAATTTGGGTTCTGTGTAAGCAAACGGAGTTCACTGCCAAATGGTGGTGTCAGGCTGCAGTTCTGAACTTACTCCTAATCATTAATTTGCTTCTAATTCTGTAACTTAGAGTTGTGTTGGCATTGCACTGTTGTACCCTTGCTAATGAGGTAACAGGGCTAATGCAATCAGAGGACTCCTGTACGGATGTTGGCCACATCCCAGAGAAGGTACTTTTAGCCTCATTGGAGAAGTGCCAGGCATCATGGAGGATATATTTATACTAATGATGCTTTATAATCACTGAAGTCTGGGGCAGGCAGAGTGTTGGTGTAGGAGGAACGATATAAACTTTTTGTAGCAATAAAGCAAAATCATCTCAAGTAATTTCAGTAACAGTGAATTAGCACTTCTAGAATTGAGAGTATTAGGAACTTCAGGTGGCATAGCCTATTGGAAATCACATCTCCTCTGCCCTTTCCTCCTGGATTGGTGATGTAAGTCTGGACACTCAAGCTGGATATTGCAGTTTGCTGATGGATGGCCTGACAATAACAATATCAGAGGTTCCCAGTTCCTTCTTGGAGGAGAACAGATGGCAGATACACTTTTCCAGGACAAGATGATGCTCCCCCATATAAGTGCTCATGTGCCTGGGGTCAGCTCATTAGGGGATGCTGAGTGTTCCCTGACTGTGGCACTGTTGTGGGAAGCCTGTCTTGCTAACATGAGCCATAGTGTAACCCCACCACAGACACCTGTGCGAATGGAGAATCAATCCCAGTGCATATGGATGAGTGAAGAATAAATGTGAATATGACCAAATCCATGACAAACACCCCAGGATATGCCTTACCTGTGTTGTCCAGTCCTACACCAAATTCAGACTGGATTGCATGTCACAAGCATCAGCTGCTTTGTCTTTATTTTGTTGGTTTTGGTCTTCATACAACTACAAATTTAGCATTACTGCTAAGGAGAAGGAAGAGCAAAAGCTACAGCCATTCAGGGGATAACATCATTTTAAACTCTGTGAGACAGCTGATACTATTAAAAACTGTGGCCTTATTATAGGCTTTCATTACTGATGGCCACTTGAGGAGACGTACATTACAAAAGAGAAAGATAAAAAGCGAAAGGCTATTTAGATAGATGTTCAGCTGAACGTTGCTAGCATCAAATCAGTGGCACTGAAGAAGATGAGACCAGACACACAGCACAGTCTCTGGACTAAATGCGTGCGCGTGATGGATCTGCCAAAGCTTTGCCTTTGCAATGTACACTTGAAATCAAAGCAGCATTGAAGTCAATATTGATTGTTCTTGGAGATATAATTTACCTTCAGGCACTGCTGTTTCCCAAAGGAGCGTGGGCCAGGACGTATGTCTCTGTGCAGTGCTGACTGCTCGTGGACAGGGATCTCCCCGAGATCCTCTGAAAGCGATTCCTCCTTTGGAAGTACCCGCTGCTGCTGCTGAGTGACCGCTGCCTGTTCTTCAGGTACTCCCTGTAGTTTTTGGTGAGCAGGGTGTAGAGGAAGGGGTTGATACAGCTGTTGCTGTAGGTCAGGCAGGTTGTCAGATAATTAATGTTCTTCATCACCTTGGAAGATAAAGTGAAGGACTCGTAATACTGGAAGAGAAGCTGCCATACCCAGAAAGGCAAGAAGCAAGCCCAGAACACCAGGACTATCGTGAAGATTAAATAGAGCACCTTTTGATTTGGAAGCCGCTTGGTCTGCTTGAAGGATGCTGTTTGTGACACCCAGTAAATCTTAGCTAATCGGATGTAGAGGTAGCCAATGATTACCCCTGGACCCACGATGCTGGTACCAAAAAGGATGGTGAGATAGACTTTGTAGGACAGCTTGCTCCAAGTAGGCAGGCAGATGCTTTTGTTGTCCCTTTGCACCAGCTGGATCATCATGAGCATTGGGAGGGTGAGCAGCAGTGACACCAGCCAGATAACAACAGCAATGGCCTTTCGGTAACTCTTGGACCTCTTCACCGTGTCCAGGGGCTTCAGCACAGCAAAGTAGCGCTCCGTGCTCATGACTGTGAGGGTGAAGATGCTGGCGTGCATAGTGAGGAAGTCCAGGCTGAACAGGATGCGACAGCCAATGTCCCCAAAGTACCACTTCTGAATGAAGTAGGTCCCAACGATGAAGGGGATGGTGAGAAGGTAGAGCAGGTCTGCCAGTGCAAGGTTGATGATGTAGATGTACATGGAAGCAGATGATCGCAAGTAGTGGCACATCACCAGCAAGGTGTAGACGTTGCCTGTCACCCCAATCACACACATGAGGGAGAGGATTGTCCCGATGGTGCAGACGGCGATCATGTCCTCCATGGAACCAGCGGCTGACGTGCCATCCCCGGTGGCATTGGTGGAGGCGTTGAGTGGGATTCTGAACAGGCTGCCCTCGCTTGTGTCTGTCACCATGGAGGGTGTTGCAGAAAAGTGGCTCTCCAGCTCTTCGGTTAGGGACATCCTCCTGGCCTTTCAATGCCAGAGGCTTTGCTCATGCCACAGGGGTCTGCAGATCTGTTCTTTCTGCTCGGAGAAACGTGGCTGCTGGGAGATGGTGAACCATTTCTTAGCGAGCTCTCAGCCAAGGAAGATCTGCATTTTTCACTAGAGGAAAGATATCAGAAGCCAGCATGTTAGAAATCTGCTTGAGCAACACAAATTATCATTTAGAAGTTACCTGTCCGTGAGTATCTGCATGTACCAAAAGTCTTCTGCACTGAGGCCACTCATGTAAGATTTGTGCTATCATTGCAAGAGCACAGATTTGAGCAGTGACGTGTCTTAGCACGTCCATGGCAGAGACAAAAGAGATTGTGTGGATCACTGGAACCACTTGCTGTGATCCTTAAAGTTAGTTTGAGGTTGAAGGAATAAAGTGTCTTCCTAAGGTCATAACAACAACTTACAGACCTAACAGCATGATTGCTCAAACCTCTTTGCTAAGCTTTTAATTCTGAAGGGGGAAAAGACCTCTAGAAAAGGAAACCAAACTGTGGATTTACCGTTTGCAGCCAAATTGTCTATTTTGTGCAAATGATACTCTCAAAGTCCTGTCCAGCATTTCTGCAGTGTTTTCACAGAGCCATTCCCTTGACTGAGAAGCTCTTCCTATGTCCTGACCTGCAGTTTCAAACCATATTCAGGTGATGGAGTGAAAAAAAGGCGTTTTGTATCTACAGACCAAGGCGTAGGCTTCACTCTGGGTTTTGTATGCCTGTAAACACAGGGTTTTTTCCATGCTCTGTCAAGTGTGATTGCACAGATTTTCATGTGTCCGTGCATAGATCTATCTCAGACCTGTCTAAACAGCCCCGTGCAGTGAGGTGTGAGATTGCTCTGCAGTGACTTAAGCAGGTAGTCACTCTGTATGCAGGAGCTTTTGGCTAGCTCAGGCTCAACACTATATGAATCATGACTGTTGCATTGAATTGATACTAGCTCTGGTTGTAGGCAAAACTACCCGAGAGAAGCACTGAGGAAGTAGCTAAAATGCTCAGATTTTAAGGCATACCAAAGCCTGTACCAACCTAAAGGTCACTGCACACAGAGGTGGGTTCGCACCATCTATTTTACAGAGCTCAGCTCGTCTCTTTGTTTGGAAAATGATGTGAGAAGGGGTTCTGGAGCACCTTGTCCTTGCTGGACTCAGCAAAAGACATCAATCTGCCTTGTTCCACTGGGCAGGCTGGGTTGGTTTATCCTGGGCATCTGTAGCTTTTCCCCACGAGTTTGGTGTCCCTTTGCCTCCACACCAGCTCTGACTTCTCCTCCTTTCTCCCAGGATCTCCATGGCTGCATGCTTACAGCACCAGGCCCTCCTCTGACGCCCTTCTGTCGAAGACCCTGACAGTGACCTCTGTAGCACCTGAGGATGGACAATGTTCATCCTCTTCATGGCTTGTCCTCACCTTCTCTTCTTCCCTTTGCCACCTGCTGTGGGTGATGGGTGCTACAGAGACATCATATCAAAACTGTTTAAAAGGCAACAATCTGGTACAGAAGGACTTTTTTCTTCACTTAACAATTGAGATAGAGGTGCAAAAACTCCAGAGAAAACCCACAATATACAGAGCCCATCTCCCGCCAAGTCACTTAGGTACAAACATCCGAGGGGGAGAGATGAAGTGTGGTTCTGCAGTGCTCAATGCTCCTTCAAGCCATCACTCCTCTGGGCTGTTGTCCAGCACCTTCACCAGCATCTCGGCTCCCTTGGACCTTGCAAACCCAGATCTGCCCCCTCGCTCCTGTGTCATGCTGTGCAGTCCCCTTCTGCTTGGCTTTGGGTGTGTGTAACCAGCCTGTTCATGCACCAACTTACTCCTTCATCATCCGTGTTCATCTGTGAGCTGTCCTGCAGCTAAGAAGCATCACACATGAAGGGGAGACATGGGTTCTGGGGGAGCTCTGCCTGCTCCTCTGCTGCTCAGTCGCTGGTGGGCAATGAATGGTTCTGCATGGGATGCTCCAGCTAAGCCTGGAGCTGCTCACACACACAGCGATCAAGCTCAGTTGGATTTTTCCGTGGCTCAGGTGCTGCCTTCTTGCAGCTGCCTCACTTTGTGCACCGGGCACTTGTAGCAGATCTCTGCTATGCCTGCACACGTCCGTGCACTTCCCTGGTGTGACAGCTCCTGCCAGAGAGAGCTCAACACACCGCATCTCCCCGCTCCTCTCCCCTTCCGCTCAACCTGCATTTTGCTTCATTCATAAAATTCCTGCAATGCTAGTTCAATTTGGACACTGCACCTGGCTCCAGACAGAGCCCACAGTGAGGCCAGTCCTCACTCCTAGAGGAAGAAAATTAAACAAACTGGGGCAACCTTGCATTATTTTAAAGTTGCTGCCATTGCTGCACTCGTACATAAATGCACACGCTCACACACACACACAATAGAGCTCGTTATCCTCAGCAGCCATTCAAGCATCTGCCATCTAAGAGATTTTTCTCAGCCAATCCTGCATTTCCATCTACATTATCATCACCCAGGAGTACCATGCACATTCAGTAGCCACAAACATAAATAAATCCCTCCTGCTCAAACCTTGCTTCCAGCAGATGAAGTTTCCTACGAGAAATAAAATAAAAATGAATCTAGTAGTATTAAAGCTGAAACACAGAAGAGGAAAAAAAAAATCAAAAAAAGAGAAAAAGGGAGAAAAGAGACTCTTCCTTCATGTGCAGCCAGCACCAGATCCCCGTGCTCCGTCGCATCTGAGAGGCAGCAGCAGGGAGGGAGCGTGCTGCCTGGCCAAGTATGTTTGAAATCTGTGCGCTCCCAGGACTCTCCTTCCCCTCCCTTCACTCACGCCTGCTATTTCTGTTGCTTGGTGACGTTAGGCATAGCGTGGCTTTGACTGCAGCCAGCCAGGAGCCTTTTTAAAGCAGCAGCACTGGGGAGCTGTGGGCTGCTCAGCTGGCTCCCCCCTGGCCTGGCTGGGCTGCGAGGTGCCCAGGCTGACTCCATGCTGGGAGTGGTGGTGTGCGACGCTGTCCCACCTCTCCTGGCATCCCACCCGCGGTTTGCCTGAGGTGTCCGGGCAGAGCTGGGTGTCCAGGGTTAAACTCCTGATGGCTGCCCAGGGGAATGGCAGAGCTCCTCGATTTGGAGAGCAATGCCAGAGTGAAGCCAAAGTTTATTTGGGTTGGATGGCGTGTTAACGGGCGAATCTGTGCAGGGGTAGCACGCACCACGGCATCTGAAATCTTTCAGGCTGGCAGTAGTAAAATGTTACCCACGTTGTTTGGGGTTCGGCTGGTTGCCTTTCCCTGTAGATACTCGAGGGTGAAGATGAAACAAGATCAACCAGGCACCTAGAACAAATGCAGTCTGAGGAAGGGGCTACCACTGGGAAATGCCAAAGCTAGACTCAGGATTATTTTGTTAGCAGCTGAATATTGTGCTGGTTGCTTGCACACAATGAGGTTTCTCTTCCTCCCAGTTCCCTGCATTAGCTCTGTAGACTGCAGGGAATTGCTCCTGATTAATGCTAGCAGGGATGGGGAGCACCCAGCTCTCCCAGGGGAGGTGTCTTCTGTTGGACAAGGCTGTGTGGGAGGTACCTGCCCTGCCTGCTGCTTGGTTCACTGGTTTGCCACTGCAAATTAGATGAGTGCCAGCTTGGGACTCCTGGGAGGCAATGGCACCTGGCACACCCACCAGCTCCAGCTCATCTGTCCTTCATCACTGTTAGTAACTAGGAGCTGTTCCTTCCTCTCCCTCTATCCCTGGATGCTCGTATCATTTCTTTCTTGTTCCAGACATTTTACACCCTGCTCTCCGAGTGCTTTCAGTTGCATTTGGTGTCCAAAGTCTTGTCTTCCTTTAGCGTGAACCAAATTTTGCTTGAGCCACATGGGGTGACTGTGGTAGCATCTGGAAAGCTTGGGGAGCACCAGATGTGGCTGTCCCACGGCAGTGTGTGTGCAAAGAGGCCTTCTGAGATACATACTTTTGAGCATGCTGAGGACTTGGGTTAGGAGAAAATCCTCATGTGGAGACTTAATTTTATGACAAAAATAGATTTCACGTTAGCAACTCTAACAACAGCTGGCTGAGCTCTAAAACCCCAACCCAAGCACCCTCAAATATACGTTTTGCTCTAAAGATCTGCTCTAAAGCCACATTTTGTGGCTGACTCCTAGATGTGTTTAGAAAAGCATGGGCTGGAAGCTGCTTCTTATGCTGCTTTCCAGGTGAGATGGAGCTGCCCATTGATGCACGACTGCAGCGAGTGGCAGTGGTCCCTTGGTGGACATTACAGTGAAGCTGTTGGCAAAGTGCTTTATCTGCAGGTAGCCTACTGGGAAGGAGAAGGTCATTCGTGTGGCAGTTACATCCTCATGTCCAGAGTGGGGCCAGCTTGCTGCTCTCCTTGAATCCTCTTGCTGCTCTCTGTGTGTAACTCAAAAGGCACATTGGTACAAGCCCTGTGTGAAAGCAGGGATGCTGACTGGGGAGGGGGATGCCTCTGCTGGGCATGGCTTGGCCATGCTGCTTCCATCTCCAGCCTCTGGTAGGTGTGTGCAGGTTTCTGTCCAGGCATCTACACTGGAACTGTCGCATTCCTCTGCCACTGAGGTGCCAGTTAGGTTGGTATTGACATGGGTCAGAAGGGAAAAGCAGGGGGAATGGGATGGGGAAAGGTTTCTGGCCAACCCATCAGTACCTTGTTGGTACTTTTGGTGTTTTGAAAAATGGTGTTTTTTGGTTTTGGGTTTTTTGTTTTTTTTTTTTTTTTTTTGCTTTTGAAAAATGTTATACCAGTGTGTTTGTTTATCAGGAAATCTCAGTGCTCACGGGGCTGCTGTTAGGGAGAGCTGGACTCCCATAAGGTCTGTATCCTGTTGGAGTCATCAGAGTAAGTCTCTGGAGGGGCATTTGAGAGCAGCATGGACAGTGTCAGGTTCACAGCACTGGCTCAGAGGGTTGTTTGTGCTTGTAGTTTTGCTGCTTCTGTTC